AGAGAGCCAGTCCTATTACAACTGGGACTATTTCAGTTTTTCAGCAACTGTTTGTATTGGAAAGCCAAATTCGAATGCATTAACGCAACATCTACCAGCTGCACATCATCACAGCTAAACATCAGTGCAAATAACAGTATATGCTCAATTTATACTTAAATCACAAAGTCAAATTCTACACCTGACCTCACAACAGATCTGCTGAAAGCTTGGCTGAGTTCATATGAAATCCTTCACCTCCCCCAGCTCCATCTGTCAAGATCTGCAACAGGATTTATTTGTGCCTATTAATGCAGCAGCAGAAATTAAATGTTTATCAAAATGTGTTCGGTCTTAAACCCATTGACCAAGAATTAATCATTTCTCTCTTCTTAAATTTGCTCAATAACTCAATTGGTCTGGTCAAGTAAATAAAACAAATAAGACTTTCTCCAGAAGCAAAGACATTATCAGTCATACTGTGAACATTTTCTTAGTCTTAAACATGATTTCGGAAATATTTAAAAAAGAAAAAAAAATTTGAAAAGATGGCTAATAATTCTGACTTCAACTGTATATAGTAAATTGTCTCAGAATGTGATGTTTCAGAGTATCTCAAAATGGCAGGGGAAGAGGATCTCGGGGCAGAAACTGTAAACTGGCAATTAGATTAAACACAAGAACAAGTAATTTTCTAGTTCTGTATGTATCAGGCATGGTTTGAATTGACTTTAAGATCCAGCACTGACTTCACTTGTCTAAATTAAAGCTCTCTAAGATGTTCCTCTCTGTAGACCGATTGTGGGATAGATAAATTCAAACTCCGGCATCGCTCGGTCACATGTTTGAGTTGTGCTAAAATAGTTAATTGTTGGAGTTTGGTTGTTTTGTGGGAAAACAAATATACCCCAGGCTATGTTGCAGGAAAATATTAAATACAATTTTAAAAAAAGAGGAAAAATCAAGAGAAGCAAAAATAAATAAATAAATAATAAAAATTTAAATTTTGTAGTTTGTCTTTTTTAGTTTTGCAATATTTTGCTTGAATTGAATTGTATTATTTTTCAATTTCTAAATGTTTGGTAACTAAAATATTATTTAATAAATATATCTGTTAAATAAATTATATTTAATAAATAAATTATGTTTAATGTTTTAGTTAAACGCATCAAAATACATTGCATATTGTTATCCATTTCTCAGTGAATATAGGTGGTTTCAAAATGGGGTGTACTTATTTATGCTGAGCACTATATCTGCAAAATATACAATATTATACTGAAGAGAAGAATATTATTAACAAACTATTATTTTCCTGCTAATTTTAATTTAAACTAGAATTCAAATAAAATTTCCCCAAAATATCTGTATAGATGATTCATAGAGATTTAGAAAAACACAAAGGTGAATGAATGCGGAGTAAAACACTTTTGTTTTGAGTGAACAATCTCTTTATGATTTCAGACTACGTCATTCAAACGTCAAAACTGAGTGTAAAGCAGTTTGACCTACCAAATGCTGCCGCTGTCATGATAACATGTGGCTCTGCCATTAGACTGAAAGAGGGCTCTGGCAGGACAAAGGGTCGTCACGTCATCATGTACGATGCAGATCCTTTCCATCTCACTGCTGACAATGATGATAGCCAAGTTTCCTGAGGGATAGCTAATGCGTGACATTAAGGACAAACAACAGTATGCCATAATGAATATCAAATGAAATGCAGAAATGAAGCAGGGTAGTAATGAAAAAGAAACAAATATTTGCATAAGTTAAACAGCTTCATCATGTGTACACTGCAAAAAATGCTTTTCTTGCTTAGATTTCTTGTCTTGTTTCTAGTTATCTAAAAATTCCTAAATCAAGAAGAATTTTCTAAACAAGTAAAACATATTGCCTTGTTTTGAGAAATAATATGCCAATATTAAGTGGGTTTTTCCTTAAAACAAGCAAAATAATCTGCCAATGGGGTAAACAAAATAATCTTACGTCAAAAAAAAAAACTAGATTAATTAGCTTAC